CAAAACGAAAAAAGTTGCAGACATAATTTTGCAAAGGTATAGAGTTGTAAAATGTGGTTATCTGTTTTGGTTTGCTTACATCACAATTTCTAGACATACAAGTTTGTGATTACAGTTTGCAAAGTTATGCAGTGCCTGTCATAATCTTTTTTTTGTAAATAAAGGTGTGTAAATTGTGAATACACTTTTTTAGCCATTTTTTAATTCTCTTTCATTTGGTAAAATTTATGTTTCCATTCTTTAAATTCTGAGGTTTGCATCTCACAGCCATAAAGTGTTTGCAACACTGTTGACTTGGGCTGTTTAGTTTTGTTATTCAGTGCAGTCATACCAATAGTAAATCTATTTCATAGTCTTAGAAATTATTATGTGTTGGAAAATTCTTAGTTTTTAATATGTACACAGACTCTATGCCACTTGTTTTTCTTTACTCTATTTCTATATTTGTTTTTTAATCCACATTTATGCTATATCCAAAATTGAATGTTTTTACTGAGACAGCTCACAGATCTGTGGGTGTTCATCTTATGGTGATTGGTGAAACTTGTGTATTAAAAAGCAAAATTAGGATTAAACTATTTAAAATGAAATGACAATTTAGAAAGTATACATAAGTATAATTTAGGGTAACCAAAGAATCTCTGAATAGTGTTTTTTTTAGATTTTCTATACATCCTTGAAGAAGGAAAGTCGACCACCTGAAATTACCTGGATTATTAATTAATCAATTAATTTTAGACTAGATAGTATGTTTAACATACATTAAGATGTAATTATTATGTATATGTAGATATATATGGAAAAATAATAACTTTTAAAATAGTTTACAACACATGGCATAGGCTGATGTTTTGTTGTGACTTACAGGATGATAAAGTTGTGTATATATTAACCCTTACCTCATAGTTTTGTATACCTTGATGAAGATATTTTAATTGAAAAAAAGTTAATGATGAGTTATTGAAGTAATGTTTTCCTGTAATTAATTTTCCATACCACTTCTGAAATAGCATAGTGATGTTTATATGTGCTTGTAGTATGGTCTCGAACCAATGAGAATGGTTTATTTTAGCTGTATTCTCCACTAACTAGTCACCATCTCTCTTATTTCATTGCTAACCTTGTATAGTGTGTGGGACTTGTGGCACGGGAGAGCGGTGAGTTTTACAGAGCAACTACTGTGTTTATTTGTTCAAAGTGTGCTTTCACTTTAGACTTATTGAGGGTTATATAGCTCTAGAATTTATTATCACTACACTTATAGATTGAATGATTTTATTATCATTAAGTTATAACTTTGTTTATGATGTATACCTGTTTGCTTTCCTTTAATAGATATATTAAAAACCCTATATGTATATATATATGCTACAATTTTTCAAACTTAAGCCTTGATCTCTCTGTCTTGTTTTTATTTGTAGTTTGTTCAGAACAACATGCCTTTGTTACTGCTAGTTAGCGAGATTTACATAAATAGTGGGTTATTTAAGTTAGGTTTCATAATAAAGAAATATTAGAATATTTTATGCACTCTAAGAATGGGCACATATTTAGAGCTTTCTTTTAGGTCCAAATATATCTTAAAACTAGCTGTGGTGTTCTTTATTTTGACAGAATTTTAAGTAATTGTTACAATCCAGATTCTATTCCGCATACAAGAAACACTACTGTAAAATGTCTATTTATATTTTTCTGAGGTTTATTACAGTAAAACTGATAATGAAAAGTAGCTTTTTTTTTAATTTATAGTTGTTGAAATAAACTGTGTTTAAACTTGAGTTGATAAAAAATGAAAAGGACATACACATAATCTGTATTGCTATATGATATTTTAGTAATCTAATTATAAATATAAAATATACCAATAGATCTTAAGTCTTAAAATTTTTCAACATTCTACTGTGATGTGTAGTAAGATGTATTTGATTAACAAACTAAAAGCACCTTACAGTTATTTGCCACTAAATCTTCTGTAAAATGTTCACAGATTTTACTAAGTCACAAGTTCAAGATCATTAAGATACCTTTACCATTTTATGTAGAAAGGAATTTTTGTGGAGCATTATTTTATATCAAGTTAACTGTACCAGTTAAAAATATAAGTGCATGAAAACATTTTTAAGGATTATCTTTTATAAGTTTGTAATATAAAACCTTCGTGTTAAATCTCTTTCAGTATTTAGCAAAAAACTTTGTATGTACTCATGTACATGTCTAAACAGCATTAATATTGATTTTTAATCTCTTCTGTATTATGTTGCTTGAAGTGCAAAGATCAATGAAGTTTTGTAGACTTCTCACATTAAATGTTTAATCTACCACAGGCTTGTCCTATATCAAACAACTACATTCTTTCCTCTTAAGTCTGCCAGTAGTATACATTCCACTTGCTCATCCAAAGGATGCCAGCTCTCAAAGACATGAAGAGGGAAGGGAGATCAAAAGCTGCCACCTAATGAGAGGTGTGGGTTCATATGACTAGTGATGTCATAGGCATTATTTATACAAATTACAGCCAGGGGCAGTAATACCATGGAGTATCACCAAGGGCTGAGTATTTCAGGGAGTTCTGCCTGAGGGTGGACAGTTTTATAAAGTACCATCAGGATGAGACCCAGAGATTGGAATTGACTGAGGTTGATATGTCTGTTAATAGGCCATATTGAACTTTGACCTCGAGTGCAAAACTTCCTGACACAGTATTAGTTCTGCATTACTCATGACCAAAATTTCTACTTTATAATTTAACTTCAATATCTAGTTATTCAATAATAAACTCAAGATGTATAAAGTTATTCTATATATAACAGTTTAGATTAAATGTGTATGTGATGTATGGTTTACACATAAAATATCCACATTCACAATGTGCATACTCCTGAAAAGGACTATTTTTCATATTATCATACAACATTCAAACTCTACATGTATATATATATGGTATACATCATACTAACTAAAGGTAAAATAATATAGTTTGACTTTGTGATTTACATATATATAACTATTCTACATTCTATTCTACTATTCTAAGTTTTCTACATCATCCATTTATTATCACCTGGTGAGTCAGCAGTAAGTTGGAGGACTTCTAATAGTAAAAATTAGGTTTTGACATCCACAGTGATCAGAATGCAGATAACCCATTGTGTAGCTTTGCATCTAACAACAAACAAACAAAAGCCATTTATTCAATAATAAAGCAAAGAGTTTTGAATTATTTAGATGAATGTAAAAAAGCCGTCCTTTTCAGGACTATGTATTTGAAAGATTGACTAATGCATGAATAATTTGTATGTAAAACATGAAGTAAATCTGTATTGTATTAACTTTAGTTAATGTAATGCCTAGGGCACATATTTTCAATTTGAATAATTTATGTTAATATTTAAAACAGTCCTTTTCAGGACTATGTAGCTTGGAAGTTAAACTAGAATATGGATAATATATGTGTGTAAAACATGAATTATGCTATACATTTTAGTGAAACTGTAATACATAAAATATTAATCAAGTATTGTTTACTTCCAGATTTTAGCATTATAAGCCTGTAAGTTCACCCCTAGCCCACTAGGGTAATAAATTGATATTAAAGTGAAATTATAAAGAAAAATTTTTTATCAGAACAATAATGCAGAACTAATGTCAGAAATTTTTGAATTTGAGGTCAGACAACAAAGTTCAATATGGCCTATTTTCAGACTGGGACAAGTCAACATTAGTTAATTCCAACATCTGGGTAGCATCCTAGAGACATTCTATACAAACTAATGGTAATTCTTGGAATATCTATCCTTCTGGTAGCACTCTATGTAGCACGTTATGGAACTGTCCTTCCATGGTACTACCTGCCCCTGGTGGTAATTTGTACAAGTATCACAGGTCACATGAACTCACAGTCTCAAAGCATACCTCCCACTGGGCCTTTGTTCTCTTTATCCCCTCAGGTACTTGCCATCTTCTGGATGCAATAGTGAGGCATACACTTCTCCTGCCACATTCTTTTCCTATTAAAGCTACCTTAGTCTTTTTTGTTTTTAATGTGTTTTAAACTTGTTGATCATATTAAGATATTTTTTTACATTTAACAACTTATGCTAGAAACTAAAAACATTATAAATGCATTTTGAAAAAGAATTGTTTTGTCTTTCACAAAATGTTTTATCTTTCTGCATGGAACTTTGACTAAGTTCTCTGGACATAAGCAACCATTTTTTAATAAAATATTTTCTATGTATGACAATATAATTTCTAGTAAAACAAAGAAAGTAAATCCTTAGTTTGTTTTTGTTCTACTTTTGAAATTTAGGTTACAGAGAGAACGTGCATTAGCTGCAGAAAAAGAGAGGCTACGGGGGGAAGTAGTGGGCCAGCAGCTACAGCTCCCAAGATCTCGGGAACAGCCTTCTAATGTAAGCAGAAAAGAGTAAAAAAGTGAGCCACGAACAAAATTTGTATCAAGTAATAATAAATCATAAGGTGATTCAAGAACTTAAAAAATAATAGCAATGATGATCAAAAAGTAAATAATGAATAGCCTTATTGCTCAATATGTAATGAATCAAAAAGTAAGTCATGAACAACCTTCATAGTCAGGTATTAATAAATCATAAAATGGTTTACAAACCCAAGAAGTAATGAAATAATGATCATAAAGTGTGTAATGAATAGCCTTTTAACCCAGAAAGTAATGAATACAAAAATAAATATTGATTAGCTTTATCACCCAAGAAATAATGGAAATAATGATTAAAAAATGTGTAATGAATAGCCTTTTAACCCAAAAACTAATGAATCTAACAGTAAATTATGAATATCCTTATCACCCAATAAGTTATGAGTCACAAAGTAAGTAATGAATAGCCTTATCACCCCAAAAAATAATGGATATAATGGACAAATAGTGAGAAGTAATGAATAACATTATCACCGAATAAATAATGAGTCAAAACCTGAGTAATCAGTAGCCTTTTCATTCAAGAAGAAATGAGTCGAAAAGTGAGTAATCAGTAGCCCTTTCTCTTGGGAAGAAATAGTAAAAAGGGAGTAATCAGTAGCCTTTTCACTCGAGAAGTAGTGAATCAAGAAATGAGTCATATATAATCTTTATCATCCAAACAGTAATGGGTGAAAAACGTGCATCATGTATAGCTGTCTAACATGACATTGATCCAAAATATAAGTGAAAACAAGTCTTTGGATACAATAAGTGAAAGAAATGACATGCAAACATATTTTCATGTCATTAGTGCTATCAAAAAGTAAATGTACATTTTAACCTCAGACATTAAAGGGTCAGTAGCAAGTAACTTATTTGGACTATTACCACATTATTTTAGTTTTTTGTTTAGTTTTAATCCACAAGCTTTTGGCTTCGTTACCTGAATTTTCTACAGGTGCAAGACATTTAGTAAACAACATACACAAGTCGTATATATATATATTCTATGGGAGGACTGTAACTGTTGTCTTGTGGTGATTTTAAGGGCTATGACAATTTTTTTCCATTTGACATTATCCTTCTGAGCATTGTGAAGACTGATAATTTTTCCATTTGACATGGACCTTGCAATAATTGTTCCATCAGACATTTTATGTATGGATTTTTATATTGATTGTGACCAGTGCCATCAGATATAAACTGTTTAGGCATTGTAAGCACTGTAAAGTTTGCCATCCAACATTTTCTTTGTTATTATAACTAGCTGAGGGTACTCATTAAGGAAACGACCTGTATAAAGGACAGTTTTAAATAATGTTCCCCTTTCTCCTTTTTTTGTTGTTAAATCCGTAATGACCTCTTTAGATGATAATTGCCTACCCTGCTTTGTGGAAGGTAATAATTGACTTGCTTAACTAATTAAATACTTGTTTCTTTAAATTCAAAGCCAAAAATGTATTAAAAAGAGTGGAAATGTGCCCTACTTCAGGGTGTTTTTAATCACCCTTTTTGTGAAAAAATCGTAAAACAAAATAACGCATGTACATTGTCAGACAGTTTCCATAAAAGAATTATGAATATTTGAGCCAGCCAACTGCGGATGATGGAACCCAAAAGTCCATTAAAAAGTGGAACTGTCCCCTATTTCAGGGTCTTTATTATTCCCCTTTTCAGGCAAAACCTTGAAACAAGATAGACCATGTACACCATAAGACAGTTTCCATATACATACCAAAAATTACAGTAATTGATCCAATCAGATTTGGGTGATGGATGCTAACACGGACACACAAATAATGGATCATCTTTATAATAAGATGACTACTGTGCTGTCAGATATGGACCGTATGGGCATTGTAAGGATTTTGATACTTTTATCATTTGACATGGGACCTTGTGGTAATTGTAAGAACTGTGACAGCTGTTCCATTAGAAATGATGAATCATTTGAATGCTGTAAGGACTGTAATAATTGTGCCATTGGACATTGACCTTCTAGAGAGTAAAAACTCTGCCCACAAAGATGATGAACTGTGTGAATGCTGTAAGAACTAATAATTGTGCCATTAGACATTGACCTTCTAGAGAGTAAAAACTCTGCCCACAGAGATGATGAACTGTGTGAATGTTGTAAGGACTGTAATAATTGTGCCATTAGACATTGACCTTCTAGAGAGTAAAAACTCTGCCCACAGAGATGATGAACTGTGTGAATGTTGTAAGGACTGTAATAATTGTGCCATTAGAGATGATGAATCACGTGAATGTTGTGAAGACTGATAATTGTGCTATTAGACATTGGCCTTCTAGAGACTAACAACTGTGCCTATGGAATGATGAACTGTGTGATGTAAGGACTGTAATAATTGTGCCATTAGGCATTGGCCTTCTAAAGACTAACAACTGTGCCTTCAAGTATTACCCTTGTGATTGTTATGATGAATCTGACAGATGGGCTTTCAGGCTACTGATTTTGTGGTTATTGTAAAGACTTAAATCTAAGTTTTTCAGCAGAATTTGGCTTGTACTCTACTTCAGGGTATAACAGTAACAACAAAATGTTTCCCTAGTAGTTTATCTTGACATGGCTTCCATGGGGGCCAAGAAAAAACTTTAATGTTGGATTTTACATTCACTGTTATATTTGAAACTCAACTTCTATCACCATTTACAGAATTAAACATGAAAGTAACAATAGACAAATAATATAGTATATCTTACTGAAAATATCACATTAAAAGATGTTAGCCCTTCAGACACCCTGATAATCCTGATCTACTAAAAAAAAGTAATTATAGTGAAAAACTAGACTATTGCTTTAATGAAAAAAAAACTTCTTTTTTCAGAGAAAACCGTCATGAATGTTCTACTTAAAGCAGAGCAAGAAGGCAATTGAATAGGTCAAGATCTAACTGCACTGTTGGACATGTAGTAATTACTACGTGAAGATGGCCAACCCTAAACATAAGACATGTATTCAACAATACATGATAGGGAGCTTACCTCCATCTAGATGGATAATTTCTACTTCTAAGATTAAGGGTAAAAGTACAGTATGTTTCCTCTATTTGCTCACCTTTCTTCATCCTTCTTCTCTCTTTCCTAATCTCGCCAACCAACATCATCATAGTGTAATGTTACTAATGTTTTGGGAGCAGGATTGACTGGTTTTTCCTTAAGCCTTTGGCAACAAACTTGTACTGTTCTGGAAACTTCTGGGCTCATTAATAGTGAGTGAATATAGTTATTGGTTTTGTTCTTCCTCTCTGTTTGTTTTCTCTTTATTTTAAAGTTTCGTATTTATTTGAGAGTATATGGGACAGTGGCATTTAGATCCTCTGCATTTCTAAATAAATTTCTTTGGATACTTTTTATAATTTTTTTTATATTGTATAATTTTTGAAAACCTTGCTTGCTTATACAAAACTAAATTTCTTTAACTTATTTACTGTAATCATGATCATTGTTCCCTTTATGTAATCTAATATTTCTGAAACCAGCAACAGTTTTGTTCAGAATTGAACCTTTCTTAGCAAACGTTCTATCTCATTACTAGCTCTAACAAAAAGATGTGTTGTAAGGGAGGAAAGTCAGGAACTTGTGAGTGCCAAGTTAGTGTTTTCTTGTACATTTTAGTGTAAAACCTTTTTTTTTAAAGTCTGTTAACTACATGTAACTGATACATTTTGGAATTTTTTCATACATGTATATTATGCACTTTATATTTTTGCACTAATTTAATTTCAGTGTCTTAACATGAAATTACCTACACTTAGCTACTTATGTTTGTTGTTTTATATTCATTTTCCTACAAATCAAACAATTTGAAAATATTTTGACAAAAATAATTTTCTGATGTATTTGATCTGTGTATTATCTAACAAAAAAAAAAGTCCAATTTATTAAATTTTTAAGAATATAGAAATTAATTTGTAAAGAACAGTGTAGGTAAAAACTTGTTAAATCTTAAGTAGCTCAAAAGCATTGTTTTTCCTTTGATTTTTTTCTGACTTGTGAATTTGCGAAGTTTACAATGGTCAGAGGTCAAATAAATAAAAAAAAAAAGAGCTCCAAACTCTAGCTTCATTATTATCACAGTGAGTTTTGAATTTTTGGGTCCTCAAGTGTAAGCGAAAGGAGATATTTTAATTCACATTTTCCTAGAAATCCCTAGTCTTTTCAGATTTTAGGATCATAAATTAGGAGGCCGTTGATGTTTGAATTAACTCTTTATGCTCCTAGTACTTTACTTGTCTATATGTCCAAACAAAGCCCTCATTCTGACTAACCATTTTGTGTTTGTAAACTGATCTAACTTCAAAGTTAGTCAGGTGGCCAGTGCACTATCATCATTATCGTAAGACTAATGGGAAGTTGCTGGAGATGGTCCATGTGATTCATGGGAGCTAATGCTGCTTAAAACAATGTATAATTTTCATTTACCCGAGTCACAAAAAACAGCTTTTTAAAGCATTCTCCAATGACTTTAAATTTGTAGTTGTAAATTTGTTTTGTTTGTAACAGTACTTTGTAAGATGTGAAAAGGTCAGTAAAGTGCTAGGAGTAGATTTCATCATAAATGGTCCTGAATCTTTATCTGTTTTTAGCATTTTCCTTTGTAAACCAAGTTGTTCTTTGTATATAGCTGTTGAAATCGTGTTCAGAGATTTATTAATCATTATTAAAGTGATGATGAGTGAGAAAGCTTCTGACCCTAATCATGTGTCAAAAATTGACCTCTCCTGGTCAGTACTGTGTGATATCCATGAAATTTGGTGGTGTTTATTCTTCAGTCTTTCATGCTGTTTAACAGAGGTATATCAGTTGTCATCCACTCTTTATTAATTTCAGCATAGGTTGAAATCACAGCTTCAGGAGAAATTTTTATTGTAAGTTAATTAAACAAATTTCTGAGCTATAACTTAACAAATTCTTTACCAAAACATACTAATGGCCCTCTATGATTGGATTATAAACCCCATTTAAGAATGTTTTTGTTTGTAACTAGGAAATGATTTTTAATATACAACAAAACTAATGTTTTAGAAAAATAACTTTAAACATATATCTGGATTTGCCCATGGTAGATGATAATATTTTAGTACGGTGTCCTCTTACATGTAATTTAAACCACATATGGTGGAAATTCACTTTTAATTTTTGTTTCCATGTGGCTTAAAAATTTGTGATTGTTACAAGTAAAATGACATTTAGAGTACTTAAAATCCATTTCCTACAATTCTTGTGTACTTATATTGATGAACTTTATCATATAAAAAAGTGCTTATTACAACGAAACAACCTCTATAGGTATCTTTGTAATCAAACCTATAGATAGTTTCTTCCAAACTATAGCTTTTTATCTCCGGAGCACAATAAGCAAAAGTTTGAGTGATTAAATTTTGAAAATATTTGTATCGAGTTTTAGTTTAAATGAATTTTACTTATAAGTGAAATGACTTTAGCAATTTGCTTCTCACCAGACTATTTTATTTATTTATTTTTGGGTCTAAAATAAGTAGTGTTCTTGTTGGTTTCTTATTTCTTAACCGCAAATGTGGAATAATACTGCACATTAGAACCCTAGGAAATCAAGGAAATACAAATCTTAAGGTATGCGAGTTGAAAAACTGGAAAGAATGAAAAGGGATATTATCATAAAATCACCAAAAGTAAGCACTTCAGATATTTCCTAACCTTTGTAGTTTTTCATGTTATCAAATTTACTATAATGATCATAAGTATATATTTTTGTTTGTATATTTAGTAACAGGGTTGTAGTTTTTCATGTTATCAAATTTACTATAATGATCATAAGTATATATTTTTGTTGGTATATTCAGTAACGAGGGTCCTGGTCATAGTTGTACAATGAAGTTGAAATTACTTATAGTTGAATATATTTTCAAGAGGTTAATAAATTAAAATCAGTTTAAAGACATTAATAGAATACAAAAATTGTTTCAAAACTATGTTTTTTTTTGGCATTTATGGACATTTTTATTCTTTGCTTCTCCATTTTTGGTGAGAAATGATAGTAAAATGGTAGTTGACATCAGTAGACAATTTTTTCTAAGAAACTAACTTGATATACTATTTGTTCAGATGTAGTATGTCACATCAGTCTGCACACTTGTCCATATATAAGTAAATAATGACTGAAGGCTATGCTTGTTTAATTATTTACTCATATTCAAACTCCATAGAAAGCTCACTGATCCTGAAATAGGTTTTACGTTATATTTATATCAACTTTCATAGTCACTGCGCACTTCTGAAAGTAAATTGTTCATTATATATTGGTAAATCATATAAAATGGAGTAAAACATTATCAAGATAAGATAAAAGGAAACTTTCTTAGTATAATCAAAATATAGACTGAAAAAGAAGAAAAGTTTAAATTTGAATAGGGTTGGAAGACACAATATAAAAAAAAACAAAAAAACGTAGAACTTTAAAGTCGTGCTAAAGCACTATTTATTTTCAGTATTTTGGTCTCTATATAGTGCATGTAAATAACTTTGAGTGTATTTGTGTATGAAGAAACAACTTTTATTTATCCAAATATACTATCTAGTGTTTAGAAATAATAATTTAAAATTACTCAGTGAGTGTATACTTGAGTAAGGAAACATATTATGCTAATATAATAGCTGGTTGGCAAATAATGGTTTATAAGCATAAGGAAGAGTTTTTATTGATGGTGAAACATACTACATGTTTTGACAGAACATTGGTGTCAATACTGCAAGAAGGCAAACCAATGTTCTGTCAAAAAATGTAGTATGTTTCACCATCAATAAAATTTCTTCCTTATGCTTATAAACCATTGTTTGCCTACCTGTTATTAGTGAGTGTATGTTTTTGTTAGTTTGCTTCAAAGCTGTTGATTTTAAAGTTTTCACCTTAATTAGAAACTACATCCTGTTGTTTTTATTATTAACTTGTTAACTACTTTTTGTGTCAGTATTGTGTCTGGTTGATACTTCTCTACACAAATCAGACACAGGTTTTGGAATAAAAGAATAAATAAGTAAAAGAAACAAAACTAAACTTGTAAAATTAAAAAGCTTAAAGACAAAAAGGTACCGTTGATACAAATATGTTGTTGCAAATTAGAAGGAAAACAAGTAAGAATATAATTTGAGCAGAATATGAAAGAAATAAAATCAAGGAAACATATTAAATGAGATTTTGAGAATGTTTGGAATTTGGTTAATGATTTACAGTATGACACAGACTCAGAATTTGGTTCATGATTGACTGTAGAATGCAGACTTGGAATTTGGTTTTTGATTGACTGCGATACAGACTCAGAATTTGGTTTATGATTGAGTGTGGAATACAGATTCAGAATCTGGTTCATGATTGAGTGTGGAATACAGACTCGGAACTTGGTTCGTGATTGAGTGTGGAATACAGACTTGGAATTTGGTTTATGATTGAGTGTGGAATACAGATTCAGAATCTGGTTCATGATTGAGTGTGGAATACAGACTCGGAACTTGGTTTTTGATTGACTGCGATACAGACTCAGAATTTGGTTTATGATTGAGTGTGGAATACAGATTCAGAATCTGGTTCATGATTGAGTGTGGAATACAGACTCGGAACTTGGTTCGTGATTGAGTGTGGAATACAGACTTGGAATTTGGTTTATAATTGAGTATATGTTACAGACTCGGAACCTAGGTTTATAATTGAGTTTGTTATACAGACTTAGAATTTGGTTCAGGATTGACTATGTGACACAGAATAAGATGAGACTGGTGGAATGGATTTATGCTTGGTATGTTTCAGTTGATTTTCATAAGTTATTATCCAAAAAAGTTTAACAAGTTTCATGAGAATCCATAAATATCTCATAGTTTTTACAACTGATATTTCTTGTGTGAATATAATTGTATGGAATTTTAATTTGATATGATATAATTTTATTCACAGTTCATGAATTGTTAAAACATTGAATTTTGTTCAGCATTTATCTATTATTATCTTATACTTAAATTTTTACTATATTTGTGTATTGTTTAAAAAGAAGTTTTAAGAGTGGAGTATGTTTCATCTGGAGTAGTTTTTAGCATACTTTATTTCTAGTTGCTTGTATTAATCTTAATCAGATGAATACTCTTATCTTTACTGTTGATGGCCTAAACAGTTATAATCAGTAACAAATCTTTTTAATAGATCAAGCACATGGCCAAGTTTGATTGGTCAAAAGAATATTTAAATTAGAGTAACAACATATGGAATATCGTGGTGTAAAGATTTTATCACAGTTTTTTCACTTCTTGTGGATTTTCATGACTGTAGAACTGTGTACAAGTTTTTTGTATAATACTTCAAGATTTTCTTAGTAAATATCAGTAAATAAATATCTTAGCACATTTGTATATATTAGAAATACCTCAAACTATGAATTTTAAACTAACATTATTGTGGAAAAACACAAGATTTAAACTTATAATAAAAAAATCTAATTCAGTCTAATATAGAGGTTAATAATAGTATATGTGCATTAACTGGAAAGGGGGGGGGGTGTTCCCTTTCTGCCCTCTGTGTTAGTGGTGTTTGATCCAGATAACTTGTACCTTACTGCTGTTAGCAAGTATACACAACATATAATATACTATAATAAATTGTCTGTATTAGAATTACTGATATGAAAGGAAAAATAATAAAAAAAGCTTACCTTAAAATGAATTGTAAAATTAATGAAATTTTAATGTTTAGGCATAGCATAGATGTGGTATTTATGTAATAAAAAAGAAAGTGTCTGTTAATAATAATAATTGTAATAATCTTTGGATAACTGTATTTAATTGCTTAAAATGATGTTACTCGTATTTAATAAACACCAGTGTTTAATTTCTGCCAAGTTCGAGATCCAAACCCTGTTTTAGATTTTTTTAGTCTAAAAGGCGCTAATACTTTTAAGACTGGCTCTGTTGCATTGAGAAGTCACCTATTACACCCCTTTCCAGCCTCAACCCTAATAGTAGTTTCATTAACATTTAAATTATCTTTCAGATTTCAAAATTCCTTCCC